ATTAACTTACCCGTGACTTACCCGTGAGAAACTTTCACGGGGCCGTACGTATTACCCGCGGGTAAAGGAAGGCTGCTTTTGAATGGGCAAGGTTGAGCATGGGCAGTGGGTCATTACCCTAAAATTTCAGCCTCCCAAGGGAAGGCTGAATTTGAATGGGCAAGATTGAGGGTGGGCAGGGGGTCATTACCCTAAAACTTCAGCCTCCTAGACTCAGGCTGAATTCGAATGGGCAAGGTTGAGGGTGGGCAGGGGGTCATTATCCTAAAACTTCAGCCTCCTAGACTCCGTGGTCCCCGAGATATTTACTTACCCGTGAAAAACTTTCAGGGGGCCGTACGCGTTACCCGTGGGTACGGGGAACTTACCCGTAAAAAACTTTCACAGGGCCGTACGCGTTACCCGCGGGTACGGGGAAGCTGAATTTTAAATTTGCGAGGTCACACAAGGGTGGGGAACGTTCCCCTAAATTTTCAGCTTCCTAGCTTTTGTGGTTCCCGAGTTGAAAGTTGCGAGGTGGGGAACGTTCCCCTAAATTTTCAGCTTCCTAGCTTTTGTGGTTCCCGAGTTGAAAGTTGCGGTGGGGAACGTTACCCTAAATTTTCAGCTTCCTAGCTTTTGTGGTTCCCGAGTTGAAAGTTGCGGACAGTCACACGTGGGTGGGGAACATTACCCTAAATTTTCAGCTTCCTAGCTTTTGTGGTTCTCGAGTTGAAAGTTGCGGACACCCCTTAAATTTTCAGCTTCCTAGCTTTTGTGGTTCCCGAGTTGAAAGTTGCGGACAAGTTGCTGCGTTAAATTTTCAGCTTCATAGCTTTTGTGGTTCCCGAGTTGAAAGTTGCGGACAAGTTGCTGCGGGAAACGTTACCCTAAATTTCCAGCTTCCTAGCTTTTGTGGTTCCCGAGTTGAAAGTTGCGGACAAGTTGCTGCGGACACAAACGCATACAACAAACACACAACAAACACACAGCAGACAACCCCGTAACAATATGCGTTGTACTGCTGTATTACACAGCACAAAACGCATAACAACAACCGCAGCAGCTAACAACAGCAGCAACAACAATAACAGCAACAACAATAACAGCAACAACAACAACAGCAACAACAATAACAGCAACAACAATAACAGCAACAACAATAACAGCAACAACAATAACAGCAACAACAATAACAGCAACAACAGCAGCAACAACAACAGCAGCAACAACAGCAGCAACAACAGCAGCAGCAGCAACAGTAGCAGCAACAACAGCAGCGGCTAACAACGACAACAGCAGCAGCTAACAACAACAGCAACAGCAACAGCAGCAGGAGCTAACAACAACAGCAGCAGTAGCAGCAGCACTGGTCAAAGCAACTACAGAAAGACTGGCTGCATAGCTGTAGAAAGCAGCCCAAATCAGTGAACCAGGGGCTGAACAAATTATCAAACATCGAGTGTCTTTTTAAAAAAAACGCCAAAAATGAGAATGCAGAGAACCTGTCGATCTGGTTCCTGATGATGCTCTTGATGAATCCATGTTCCATGCTCAAACGTGGTGGATTCGAGTCCTCGCCAGGGCCTTTTTTGGCACATTCATGACGCCTTGCATTTCGTTTCTTCATTTCTCTTGATGCTGGCACACTCATCCTCCGGAACTCGTCTGAAACTCATTAAGACTTACTTACATGGGCAGAGAACGCCCCTGCAACATTTCAGCTTCCGAGCTTTTCTGATTCCCGTTATGCGAAACGAACTGCTTCTCATAAAGCGCGGTGGAGAAATCCTTCGAAGAGAGAGAGAGAGACCCCTGACAACGCCGCCGCACACCAAGTCGAAGGCGAACATCAGTGATGTGACGTACTGGTCAAATGCAACGTTTGCGCTCTCAGGGTCGGGCAAAAATGGAGGAGCGTGAGGAGTGGAGAAGGGGGAGAGGGAGATAGAACGACCAGAACCTGCATCGATCCGGCTCGGCTTGTCCTTACATTCCGTTAGTGATAGAAAAATGCGCTCGTTTATGGGACTAAGATATACTGGTCAAATTCAAAGCTTGCCCTCTTAGGG